TTTCGGCGATAAAGGAATTCGACGATTCCGATACACACAAGGTGCTCGGTCTGTGTTGGTCACCAGAGTCCGACGTGTTTAGCCTTAAGGTAAATCCGCCCGTAGAGAAATGCACAAAGCGCACAATACTGTCATGCGTTGCTAGATTATGGGATGTCATGGGTTTCGTAGCTCCAGTGGTATTATACGCTAAGCTTTTGATTAAACAACTTTGGTTATTTGAATGCGATTGGGATGATTCGCCGCCTGACAGCATTGCTCGTTTGTGGCAGCGCTTTAGAGAGGAACTTCCTTTACTAAGAGAAATTAGAATACCGCGTCATATAAACGTCGATAGAAATAGCGTCATAACGGTCGTTGGGTTTGCAGACGCCAGCGAGAAGGCTTACGGGGGCGTTGTATATTTCCACATTCAGAATAATGGTGAAAATTCGATTAGCCTCATTAGTTCTAAGTCGAGAGTCTCCCCCGTAAGGTTGTCTCTCTGGCGCGCTTAGAGCTTTGCGCAATATTAGTACTCACCAAGCTTATTACCGCAGTTATCAGCGCATGTAGGGATAGAGTTCACATAGAAAGGATATTTGCCTTTTCCGACTCCACCGTCGCCTTATGCTGGGTTCATTCTTCACCTCACCGTTGGGATACGTTTGTCGCGAACCGAGTGGCCAAGATCCAAGACGAGTTAGAAACGCGGAACTTTTATCACGTATCCGGTACGGAAAACCCTGCCGATTGTCTATCCCGGGGACTCACCCCGATGCAAATAATGGACCACCCGCTTTGGTTCCATGGACCTTCTTGGGTTCACTTGGATCCCTCACAATGGCCGATAACCGATTTCGAACCTTCGTCAGTGTCACAACCGCCGGAAGAGAAGAGACACGCTCTAGTGGCGAACGTTTCGAGCGAGGTTTCTCCAATCATTGCTTTGGCGAACCGCTTGTCCTCTTGGTCGAAATTATTGCGTAGCGTAATTTACGTTTGTCGATTCGCGAAGCTTTTACCGCGACGTTCGTATGTCTTAGCGTCCGATTACAACTATGCCGAGTCGCTAGTATTACGTGAACTTCAACGTGCGCATTTCTCTGAAGAAATTACAAGATTACAATCGAATAGAGCTTGTAGTCGCGCCTTTCAACGCCTTAAGCCATTTTTACAGGATGGGATTGTAAGGGTAGGTGGACGCTTGTCCAACTCGCAGTTGAGTTTCGACCAACGGCACCCTATAGTTTTACCGCGTAAAGACCATATCATGAACTTATTAGTCGATTACCATCATAAATTGAACTCGCACGCTGGCCCCGACTTGTTGATGTCGATTTTGCGTCAAAATTATTGGATTCTTTCTGCACGTAGTTTAATACGCAACCGGGTGCACAGATGTATAGCTTGCTTTCGGGCACGCCCCAAGCCGTCATTTCCGGAAATGGCGGAACTTAGATCTTGTAGAGTAATACAATCGGTAAAGCCCTTCACGCACACCGGGTCGGATTTCGCTGGTCCGTTTAAGGTCACGCTCACTCGCGGGCGTGGTATAAGATCCACAAAGGCTTACGTCTGCATTTTCGTATGTCTAACTACTCGAGCGGTGCATATAGAACTCGTTGGTGATCTAAGCACAGCAGGCTTTATGGGTGCATTTAAAAGATTTCTATCCCGTAGAGGCCCTGTAAGTAAATTATATTCGGATAACGGTACGAACTACGTCGGTGCAAAACGTATTCTATCGGAGCTACATGAGCTCTTAGCTAGCAAGTATTATAATTCGGAGTTCGCTCACATTCTAGCCGAGAACCGCATTGAGTGGTCTCTGAACGTCCCAGCCGCGAGTCATTTTGGAGGCAATTGGGAGACCAATATTAAGAGTCTAAAAAGTCACTTATACCGAGTAATAGGAGATCAAATTTTGTCCTTCGAAGAGCTAAGTACGGTGCTCGCTCAAATTGAATGCGTAATGAATAGCCGCCCACTTTGTCGGACGTTGTCTAGTGACCCCTCGGAACCGCTGGCTCTAACTCCAGCACATTTTTTGAATTTAACGCCTTTAAAGTATTTGCCCGCCGCAGATATGGATGAGAACAGACTTAGCATTTCCGCACGCCACAAATTATTAGACCGGTTAGTGCAATCGTTTTGGAAACGATGGAGGATGGAATACTTGCATACTTTGCAGTCTCGGCAAAAATGGAACACAGCGACTGAGCCTTTAGCTGTAGGGACTGTAGTTGTGCTCACTAAGGTGAATACGCCACCTCTCCATTGGCCGTTAGGAATTGTCGAAGAGGTCTTTCCCGGTTCCGACGGAGTAATTAGGATAGCTCGCGTTAAGACCACGGTTGGGTCTTACCTACGTCCTGTTGTCCGTTTGTGCCCCTTGCCTCTTCCATAATTTAAATTAGCTTTCTAGATTAAATTGTAGTTGAATTTAGGTAATCTTAGCGTTAGTTAGTTATTTGTTAGTTGATCTTAGCTCTAGTTGTTTTAGTTATTTTGAAGGAGATCCTTCAAGGGCGGGGGGAGATGGTTGCGCGGAAAACCATTCGTATTTATTTTATTTGACGGTAGGTTGCCAAATCGGTTATCCCTTTCCAAAACGACATCATTCGTACCCTCCTATCGACACATCGGGGTGGTGGGGTGGGAGGGGAAAGAAGATGATTCTAGAACATCACGTAATCATCGGAACCGAGGATATATAAGACACGCGCGACCGACGCGTGGCCTCTTCCCGCCGCGCTCGTTGTTGGAAACACATCTAGTAGAAACTGCTTTAGCCTGGAAGCAGTCGAGCTCCAGGAAACACGCCTCACCTCGTGTGAGATATAGTCGCGCACCGCCTCTCTCCGGAGTGTTCCAGAAGTCGAAGTTATAGTGCTCGACCGCACAGAAGAAAACATCCCGGTGAGTCAACATTTTCCTAATAGTATTTTCCTGCTTGATACAGTAGTTTTAACCCGCTCCAATTTTGTGTTTTCCTAATCAAGCAGGATTCCTTTCATCGATTTGGCATAATAGTTCGTTTTTTTGGGAAGAGCGAGTGCATTGTATCGCATATACAAGTGTAGAATCAATTAGTAGATACAGTCCACTTAGATTAATATCTCGCGTAATAGGTTTAAGGTTCGACCGGGGAACTAGACTTCGGCAGCCTTAAACACGTGGCTCCACCAAACACTACACAGTCATTGCATCGCCTCGCAGACATCACCCAATCTTTCTCAAACGACATTCATATGGAGTTCGGTATTGACAAGTGCAAAACTTTCTCGGTTAAAAATGGAAAAATTAACCCCAACAGCTATAGCCTAGTAACAGGAGACACGATTGAACATCTAGAATCCCACGCCTCATATAAATACTTAGGTTTCCAACAAGCGCGACAGATCCATCAAAAGGAAACGAAAGAAGGTCTCAAAAAGAAATTTTAACATCGGCTCAATAGTATATTCCGGTCTCAACTCAACTCCCGCAACATGTCAAAAGCAATCAATAGTTACACAATCCCCATACTGACATACTCGTTTGGTATAATAAACTGGACTCAAGGTGACCTTATCAATCTGCAACGTATTAAAAATACCACTCTAACGACTCACCGCAAGCACCACCCTAGATCATGCGTGCAAAGGATGACTCTTTCAAGATCCGAGGGAGGACGAGGTATAATAGATGTCCTCAACTTGCATAATAAACAAATCAAATCCCTTCGACAATATTTCCATCAACGCTCAGAACACTCACTTCTCCACGAAATAGTAACCTTAGCCGACAAACGCCTCACACGACTTAACCTCGCGGACCGAAACACACAACGCAGTGAACGGATCACTGACGTAAAAGAGAAGATGGCCTCTTGGCAACAAAAGTCCCTACACGGAAGGCACTACCACGACCTGCAGCTGTCACATGTCGACAAAAAAGCGTCGAACGCCTGGCTGAGGCGCGGTGAACTCTTCCCAGAGACGGAGGCATTCATGTTAGCGATCCAGGACCAGGTCATCGATACCCGAAACTTCCACATACAGATACATAATACGTGCACCTAACCTCCCCACTGATACTTGCAGACATTGCCACCCTAGCCCCGAAAACATACAACACATAACATCCGCCTGTAGAGCTCTTGCACAAACCGATTATAAGCATCGGCATGACCAGGTTGCCTCCATAATACACCAATATCTTGCCCTTAAATTTAAATTCATACAAAAAATGACACCATATTACAAATATAAGCCGGACACCATATTAGAAAACAATAATTATAGAATCTACTGGGACAGGACCATTATCACGGATAAAACTATTCACTTCAATAGACCCGATATCACAGTGTATGACAAAAATAACAAAACTAATTACCTTATTGACATTGCCATACCAAACACCCATAACATTCAATCCACCATAGCTGAAAAACTTACAAAATATCAAGATTCAGCTATAGAACTCAAGCGTCAATGGAGAGCAGAAACCATCCATATAGTCCCAATAGTTATCTCATCTACCGGAGTTATACCTAAAAGCCTACAACCCAGTCTAGATATTTTGCAAGTACCCCAACACACACTTCACACCCTGCAGAAAGCTGTCATTCTCAACACCTGCCGACTCACACGCAAATTCCTCACCACGTCATCCGTCACCTCTGCTTACACCATCACCTAGCACCTGCTCACGCTTGGCTTCGGCCCGTGTGATTAGATTTTAAGTTACCTCTTTAATAGGGAGAATATAGATATGTACAAAATATAATAGTAGTAATAATAATAATAATAATAATGAAAAGGCGTAGGGAAGTGACGACCCCATCGCCCGCTGACGTAACAGTTAAGTGACAAAACTGCTACGTCAACGCAGTCAGTCAGCGCCTTGCGAGAGGTGTGAGCGCCGTGCCTCGGCAGAATTTAGGGTGCAGAGGCCCGTTTGTGCTTATGGCTACACACGAAACGGTGCCGGGCCTGGGCGTCTCCCGTTAATGGACGCCCAAATAATGGATGATGGATAAGAAGATAGTGCGCAAAGGGCCGCTGCCTGGGGGTCGCTGGGGCGCGTCTGGAGCTGGCGCTGGACGCGGCAGCATGCGGGCCGCCAGCCGAGCGCGAGGAGCTGCACGGTCACCTAGCAGCCCTCCGCATTCATCATCCCCACCAGAAGGCTTGGTGTCGGCTGGGTCTTCTCGGACTCAGCAAGCGGCACCCGCCGCTGGTGGAGCACGTCGCATGTGTTGGTCACAAGCAATGAATGCAAACGCACTGTGGGCGTATTTTAGGGCAAAAGGGGAAGAAACTGGATGTTTGGCGTATCGGGCTAGGATGCATCGTCTTTTTGCTGAGCTGGAGCCATCTTTAACCGTCACAGAGCAAAACCTGGCAGACCGTGTTCGGTATATCTTGCGCTCAAATATATTTGATGTCGCCGAACTCGAACGGCTACGACGTGAGGCTGTTCCCTCGTCGGATGAGAATGCTACGGCTGAGGATGCGGCGCCACAAATGTTAGAGCAACCCGCAAACGTGGATGCCGCCGTGAATACCCCAGTTGTGGTTGATTCAAACGATGATGGAACAGTCGCCCAGAAACTGGAATTAGAGCATATGAGGAGTACATTGGAAGAGGCGATTGTGGAAACGCGCAGTACGCCTCTCGAAAATCGACCGCGACTTTCGCGCATAGCCCTAAGCAAGCGGAATCGGGCTGTCGTGAGGGCTCTGAACCCAATGCTGGTGACCTATTTGGAAGCCAGCCGGGACCTATGCGAGACGGACTCAATTCTTTTTGGCGCCGCGCTGGCAGTCTGCCGTATCATAGGCGCCAAGGTTTCCACGGCTGGACGCGCTACTGGCCATAGTAGCGCTATCCCAGCATGAAGAAGAAGAATTGAGGAACGTATCGCAAAGGCTAGACCTCTCATCGGCAGACTGATATGCTTCAGATCAGGAAACAACCACCGTCAGGATGGAGTTTGCTGGGACAAATGTGAGTTTGTCCCACCGGATATAACGCAAAAACTGACGGAGCGCATAGATGATCTGAAGCAGAGAATCGCTGCTTGGGGAAAGCGGATTCGGCGATATACCGAGAGGTCGACACGGTTCAACCAGAATCGTCTCTTCCAGAGTGATCAGAAGAGGCTCTATGAATCATTGGAGCGACCAATGGTAAGTGGAACGGGTCCAGCACCGAATCAGGCCGACACTGTAGCATTCTGGCGCGGCCTGTGGTCAGAGCCCGTAAACCACAGCGAGGGCCCTTGGACGGAAGTTGTGGCGAGTCAGTGTGCGGGTATTACGCCCATGGACCCCGTCATCATAACGCCGGATGACGTAGCTGAGGCGGTCCGTAGGGCCCCGAACTGGAAAAGTCCGGGGCTTGACAGGCTGCATCACTACTGGCTGAAGGGGTTCATGGTGTGTCACTCTGTGCTCGCCCGACAGTTTCAAGAGGCTCTCAACCAGAAGTCGCTCCCAAGCCTCTTCACTACTGGGATCACTCATTTGGTTCCTAAAGACCAGGGTACCACAGACCCGAGCAAATACCGCCCCATCACGTGTCTACCGACCATATACAAGACACTAACATCCATTTTGAGCGCAAGAATCACTTGTCACCTGGACTCAAATCAGGTGATGTCGCGCGCTCAAAATGTATGTCGGGGGCGGTGGTCGTGGAACCAAGGAACCCCTCCTCATTGACGCGGTCATTGGCAAAGTGGTGAAACGCAACCGTCGGAACTTCTCCGCCGCCTGGATAGACTACAGAAAGGCATTCGACTCGGTACCCCATACATGGCTAAAGAGAGTCCTCGAGCTGTACAAGATAGACTGTACAGTTAGAGACTTCCTCGAGCAGTGTATGGGGCAGTGGAGTACGATCCTTTGTCATCTAGGCGAGCGGATGATGGCTGCGGAGAACCACATAAGGATAAGAAGGGGTATCTTCCAGGGCGATTGTCTGAGTCCAATCTGGTTCTGCCTCTCTCTGAACCCTCTCAGTACCTTACTGGAGGGCTCCGGGAGGGGATTTCAGCTACGGAAAGGAGGGACAAAAGTGACCCACCTTTTCTATATGGATGACCTCAAGTTATTCGCCTCCAGTCGCTCCCATCTTATGGAATTGCTAAACATCACTTGTGAATTTAGCAATTCCATTGGAATGGAGCTTGGGACGGATAAGTGTGCGGTCCTCCATGTTGAAAGGGAAGGGGTTGCTAACTCTGAGGGCATAGACTTATCTATGCCCGTCAACTTAATAACCCTTTCCGAGGCTGAAACATACCGATACCCGGGTATGTCACAAAACATCGGTATCGATGAGACTGGTATGAAACAGTCAGTTTGCGACGTGTTTTATGCACGCTTGACCAAAGTTCTTAACAGCCTTTTGTCCGGTGTGAATAAGGCACACGCATATAACGGCTGGGTCATGCCTACCTCATGTATACCTTTGGCATACTCAGGTGGACTCAGACTGAACTTAACGCCCTGGATAGAAAAGTCCGCACTACCATGACGTCCCATAGGATGCATCATCCGAGATCGTCGGTAATGAGGCTGTACCTGCCGCGAAAGCATGGTGGTCGTGGCTTCTTGAGCGCGCTCACCATGCATAATCGCGAAGTGTGCAGCCTCCGTGATTACTTCCTGGCGAGATCGGATGATCCATTCTATAAGGACGTCATTTCTTGTGATAAAGTACTTACCCCTCTATCCTTAGCCAACGAGCAATGGCAAGACCCGGCAGTGCAGAGCATTTCCGTCCGGGAGACCGTGTGAAAGGAGAAGTAGCTCCACGGGAGGTTCTACAAGGCTCTACATGAGCCTTTCGTAGACACAGTAGCCTCCCTCCACTGGCTACGCTTTGGTGATCTCTTCGGGGGAAACCGAGGGTTTTGTCTGTGCAATACAGGATTAGGTTATTAAGACCAACAACTATCGGAGATACATCCTAAAGGATGGCACCGTCGACATCTGTCGAGCTTGTCGCCATCCCGGTGAGTCACTTAGGCATGTCATCTCCGGTTGTTCGGCGCTTTCTAATTCTGAGTACTTGCACAGGCACAACCTAGTAGCCAGAATTCTTCACCAGGAGCTCGCTCTGAAATACGGTCTCGTGGACCGAAAATTACCGTATTACAAGTACTTGCCGGAAGCCGTGCTCGAAAATGACCACGCCAAGCTCTACTGGGACCGGGCCATCATCACAGACAGGACTATTCCTGCGAATAAGCCTGATATTGTGCTGATGGTCCGGGCACAGTCAAGGATATTTTTGGTCAACATTACCATTCCGTATGACGAGAACCTCGTGAAAGCCGAAACAGAGAAACGAACAAAATATCTGGACCTGGCTCACGAGGTGACCGACATGTGGGGTGGTCTGCCGACCGAAATTATTCCTGTAGTCGTCTCTGCGAATGGGCTAATCCCGGTCAGCCTCTCGGGTCATCTGAGACGACTGGGACTCCGTGACGGACCGCTCCGGGCTCAAATGCAGAAGGCGGTGCTCCTCGATACCGCCCGCATCGTCCGCCGGTTTCTTTCCTTTTCCCCCTAACCCTCGGCCGTTTGGTCTCCCCTGCCGAGGGCTCCCATCTGGTTGGATCTTATTTATTTATGTAGTTTTTGTGTTTATTTTATTTTATTGATATTTATGTATATTTATCTTTTCATTTTCATTTATAATTATATATTTATAGAACCCAACCAGATGAGAAAACTATATAGATACCCCACAATAATAATAATAAGTCAGCATCCTGCCAAGAGGTGTGAGCGCCGTGCCTAGGCAAAATTGTAGGTGCAAAGGTCCGTTTGTGCATATGACCCAACCACGAAACGGTGCCGGGTTTGGGCGTCTCCCGTTATTTGGCGCCCATAAAATGGATGATTGAACAAACACAAAAAGGAACGCGCATAGGGCCGCTGCCTGGGGGTCGCCGGGGCGCGTCTGGAGCTGGCGCTGGACGCGGCAGCATGCGGGCCGCCAGCCGAGCGCGAGGAGCTGCACGATCGCCTAGCAGGCTCTCGCATCCATCATCCCCACCAGAAGGCTTGATGTCGGCTGGGTCTTCTCGGACCCAGCAAGCAACACCCGCCGCTGGTGGAGCACGTCGAATGCGTTGGACAAAATCCATGAACGAAAACGCATTGCGGGCGTACTATAGGACGAAAGGAGAAGAAACTGCGGGAATAGTGTATAGATCTCGGATGCATTGCTTTTTTGCTGAGCTGGAGCCGTCTATCCCCGTCACGGAACAAAACCTGGCAGACGGAGTTCGGTACATCATGCGCTCGAAAATATTTGATGATGCCGAACTCGAACGACTACGACGTGAGGCTATTCCGTCGTCGAATGAATCGGCTATGGCTGGAGATACAGCTCCACATTCGACAGACCAGTATCCACACGTGGAAGCCGCCATGGATCTTCCAGTTGTGGTTTATTCGAACGACGATGAAATAGTCTCCCACGAACTAGAGCAAATGAGGAGTATATTGGAAGAGGCGAATTTGGAAACGCGCAGCACCCCTCTCGAAAATCGACCGCGACTTCCCCCGCATACCCCTAAGCAAGCGAAATCGGACAGTCGTGCGGGCTCTTAACGCAATGCTGGTGACCTATTTGGAAGCCAGCCGGGACCCTTGAGAGACGGATTCAATTCTTTTTGGCGCCGCAGTGGCAGTTTGCCGTATTATTGGCGCCAAACTTCCCATGGCTGGACGCGCTACTAGACAAAGTAGCGCCATCCTAGCCTGGAGAAAAAGAATTGAGGACCGTATCGCAAAGGCAAGGGCCCTTATCGGCAGACTGACAAGGTTCAGGTCGGGTAATAATAGACCGAGGATTATGCGCACCGTTAGGATGGCATTTGCTGGGACAAATATCAGTTTGTCCCAGCCGGATATCACGTAGAAACTAACGGAGCGCATAGACTACCTGAAGCAAAAGATCGCTGCTTGGGGGAAGCGGATTCGACGATTTTCCGAGAGGTCAAGGCGGTTCAACCAGAATCGTCTCTTCCAGAGTGATCAGAAGAGGCTCTATAAATCATTGGAGCGACCAGAGGTATGTGGAGCGGGCCCAGGACCGGATCAGGCTGACACTGTCGCATTTTGGCGTGGCCTGTGGTCAGAGCTCGTAAACCACAGCGATGGCCCTTGGATGGAAGTTGTGGCGAGCCAGAGTGCAAGTGTTACGCCTATGGATCCCGTCACCATAACGCCTGAAGACGTGGCTGAGGCGGTTCCGTAGGGCCCCGAACTGGAAAAGTCCGGGGCTCGACGGGCTGCATCATTACTGGCTGAAGGGGTTCGTAGTGTTCAGATCTTCAGAGTTCAGAATGATCAGAAGTCGCTCCCGAGCCTCTTCAATACTGAGATCACTCATTTGGTTCCTAAAGATCAGGATACCACAGACCCAAGCAAATACCGCCTCATCACGTGTCTACCCACCATATATAAGACACTGACATCCATTTTGAGCGCGAGAATCACTCGTCACCTGGAGCTAAATCAGGTGATGTCACGCGCTCAAAATGGATGCCGGGGCGGTAGTCTTGGAACCAAGAAACCACTCCTCATTGACGCGGTCATTGGCAAAGTGGTGAAACGCAACTGTCGGAATTTCTCCGCCGCCTGGATAGACTACAGAAAGGCATTCGACTCGGTGCCCCATACATGGCTAAAAAGAGTCCTCCAGCTGTACAAAAGTGACTGTACAGTTGCAGTGTATGGGGCAATGGAATACGATCCTTTGCTATCTGGGCGAGCGGATGATGGCTGCGGAGAACCACATAAGGATAAGAAGGGGTATCTTCCAGGGCGATTGTCTGAATCCAATCTGGTTTTGCCTCTCCATGAACCCTCTCAGTACTTTACTGGAGGGCTTCGGGAGGGGATTTCAGCTTCGGAAAGGAGGTACAAAAGTGACCACCTTTTCTATATGGATGACCTCAAGTTATTCGCCTCCAGTCGCTCCCATCTTATGGAATTGCTAAACATCACTTGTGAATTTAGCAATTCTATTGGAATGGAGCTGGGAACGGATAAGTGTGCGGTCCTCCATGTTGAAAGGGGAAGGGTTGCTAACTCTGAGGGCATAGACTTATCTATGCCCGTCAACTTAAGGACCCTTTCCGAGGCTAAAACATACCGATACCTGGGTATGTCACAGAACATCGGTATCGATGAGGCTGGTATGAAACAGTCAGCTTGCGACGTGTTTTATACACGCTTGACCAAAGTGCTTAACAGCCTTTTGTCCGGTGTGAATAAGGCACACGCATATATTGGTTGGGTCATGCCTGTCCTCATGTATACCTTTGGCATACTCAGGTGGACCCAGACTGAAGTTAACGCCCTGGATAGAAAAGTCCGCACTACCGTGACGTCCCATAGGATGCATCATCCGAGATCGTCGGTAATGAGGCTGTACTTGCCGCGAAAGCATGGTGGACGTGGTTTTCTGAGCGCGTTCACCATGCATAATCGCGAAGTGTGCAGCCTCCGTGATTACTTCCTGGCGAGATCGGATGATCCATTCTATAATGACGTCATTTCTAGTGATAAAGGGCTTACCCCTCTATCCTTAGCCAACGAGCAATGGCAGGACCCAGCAGTGCTTAGCATTTCCGACCGGGAGACCGTATGGAAGGAGAAGGAGCTCCACGGGAGGTTCTACAAGGCTGTACATGAGCCTTTCGTAGACACAGTAGCCTCCCTCTACTGGCTACGTTTTGATGATCTCTTCGGGGGAAACGGAGGGTTTTGTCTGTGCAATACAGGATCAGGTTATTAAGACCAACAACTATCGGAGATACATCCTAAAGGATGGCAGCGTGGACATCTGTCGAGCTTGTCGCCATCCCGGTGAGTTACTTAGGCATGTCATCTCCGGTCGTTCGGCGCTTTCTAAATCTGAGTACTTGCACAGGCACAACCTAGTAGCCAGAATTCTTCACCAGGAGCTCGCCCTGAAATACGGTCTCGTGGATCGGAAATTGCCGTATTACAAGTACTTGCCGGAAGCCGTGCTCGAAAATGATCGCGCCAGGCTTTATTGGGACCGGGCCATCATCACAGATAGGACTATTCTTGCGAATAAGCCTGATATTGTGCTGATGGACCGGGCACAGTCAATGATATTTTTGGTCGACATTACCATTCCGTATGACGAGAACCTCGTGAAAGCCGAAACAGACAAGCAAACAAAATATCTGGACCTGGCTCACGAGGTGACCGACATGTGGGGTGGTCTACCGACCGAAATTATTCCTGTAGTCGTCTCTGCAAACGGGCTAATCCCAGCCAGCCTCTCGAGTCATCTGAGGCGACTGGGACTACGTGGCGGACCGCTCCGGGCTCAAATGCAGAAGGCGGTGCTCCTCGATATCGCCCGCATCGTCCGCCGGTCTTTTTCCCTTTCCTCCTAACCCTCGGCCGTTTGGTCTCCCCTGCCGAGGGCCTCAATCTGGTTGGGCTCTTATTTATTTATGTATTTTTATATTTATTTTATGTTATTGATATTTATGTATATTTATCTTTTCATTTTCATTTATAATTATATATTTATAGAACCCAACCAGATGAGAAAACTATATTGATACCCCATAATAATAATAATAATAATAATAACCCCACCAGAAGGCTTGGTGTCGGCTGGGTCTTCTCGGACTCAGCAAGCGGCACCCGCCGCTGGTGGAGCACGTCGCATGCGTTGGTCTAAATCAATGAATGAAAACGCACTGCGGGCGTATTTTAGGGCAAAAGGGGAAGAAACTGGATGTTTGGCGTATCGGGCTCGGATGCATCGCTTTTTTGCAGAGCTGGAGCCATCTCTATCCGTCACTGAGCAAAACCTGGCAGACCGAGTTAGGTACATCCTGCGCTCCAATATATTTGGTGACGCCGAACTCGAGCGACTACGACGTGAGGCTATTCCTTCATCGAATAGAAATGCTACGGCTGGGAATGCGGTGCCACTAGATGCGCAACAAACTGCATATGTGGATGCTGCCGTCAACATTCTATTTGTGGCTAATTCAGACGATGATGGAATAGTCTTCCACGAACTAGAGAAAATGAGGAGCATATTGGAAGAGTCGATGCTGGAAACGCGCAGCATGCCTCTCGAGAATCGACCGCGACTTCCCCCGCATACCCCTTAGCAAGCGAAATCGGGCTGTCGTGCGGGCTCTTAACCCAATGCTGGTGACCTCTTTGGAAGGCAGCCGGGACCTTTGCGAGACGGATTCAATTCTTTTTGGCGCCGCACTGGCAGTATGCCGTATTATTGGCGCCAAACTTCCCGTGTCTGGACGTGCTACTCAAAAAAGTAGCGCCATTCCAGCCTGGAGAAAAAGAATTGAGGACCGTATCGCAAAGGCAAGGGCCCTTATCGGCAGACTGACAAGCTTCAGGTCGGGTAATAATAGACCGAGGATTATGCGCACCGTTAGGATGGCGTTTGCTGGGACAAATATCAGTTTGTTCCAACCGGATATCACGCAAAAACTAACGGAGCGCATAGACAACCTTAAGCAAAAAATCGCTGCTTGGGGGAAGCGGATTCGACGATTTAGCGAGAGGTCAAGGCGGTTCAACCAGAATCGTCTCTTCCAGAGTGATCAGAAGAGGCTCTATAAATCATTGGAGCGACCAGAGGTATGTGGAGCGGGCCCAGGACCGGATCAGGCCGACACTGTCGCATGTGTGCGTGGCCTGTGGTCAGAGCCCGTAAACCACAGCGAGCGCCCTTGGATGGAAGTTGTGGCGAGCCAGAGTGCAAGTGTTACGCCTATGGACCCCGTCACCATAACGCCTGAAGACGTGGCGGAGGCGGTCCGTAGGGCTCCGAACTGGAAAAGTCCAGGGTTCGACGGGCTGCATCATTACTGGCTGAAGGGGTTCGTAGTGTGTCACGCTGTGCTCGCTCGACAGTTTCAAGAGCCTCTCGATCAGAAGTCGCTCCCGAACCTCTTCACTACTGGGACCACTCATTTGGTTCCTAAAGATCAGGATACCATAGACCCGAGCAAATACCGCCCCATCACGTGTCTACCCACCATATATAAGACACTGACATGACTGACTGACTGACGCGAGAATCACTCGTCACCTGGAGCTAAATCAGGTGATATCACGCGCTCAAAATGGATGCCGGGGGCGGTGGTCGTGGAACCAAGGAACCACTCCTCATTGACGCGGTCATTGGCAAAGTGGTGAAACGCAACCGTCGGAATATCCATTCTATAATGACGTCATTTCTAGTGATAAAGGACTTACCCCTCTATCCTTAGCCAACGAGCAATGGCAAGACCCGGCAGTACAGAGTATTTCCGACCGTGAGACCGTATGGAAGGAGAAGGAGCTCCATGGGAGGTATTACAGGGCTCTACATGAGCCTCACGTAGATACCGCCGCCTCCCTCACCTGGCTACGTTTCGGTGACCTCTTCGGGGAAACCGAGGGTTTTGTCTGTGCAATACAGGATCAGGTTTTTAAGACCAACAACTATCGGAGATACATCCTAAAGGATGGCACTGTCGACGTCTGTCGAGCTCGTCACCATCCCGGGGAGTCACTTAGGCATGTCATCTCCGGTTGTTCGGCGCTTTCTAACTCTGAGTACTTGCACAGGCCCAACCTAGTAGCCAGAATTCTACACCAGGAGCTCGCTCTGAAATACGGTCTCGTGGACCGGAAATTGCAGTATTACAAGTACTTGCCGGAAGCCGTGCTCGAAAATGACCGCGCTAGACTCTACTGTGACCGGGCCATCATCACAGACAGGACTATTCTTGCGAATAAGCCTGATATTGTGCTGATGGACCGGGCACAGTCAAGGATATTTTTGATCGACATTACCATTCCGTATGACGAGAACCTCGTGAAAGCCGAAACAGATAAACAAACAAAATATCTGGACCTGGCTCACGAGGTGACCGACATGTGGGGTGGTGTGTCGACCGAAATTATTCCTGTAGCCGTCTCTGCGAATGGGCTAATGCCAGTCAGCCTCTCGGGTCATCTGAGGCGACTGGGACTCCGTGACGGACCGCTCCGGGCTCAAATGCAGAAGGCGGTGCTCCTCGATACCGCCCGCATCGTCCGCCGGTTTCTTTCCCTTTCCCCCTAACCCTCGGCCATCTGGTCTCCCCTGCCGAGGGCTCCCATCTGGTTGGATCTTATTTATTTATGTAGTTTTTGTATTTATTTTATTTTATTGATATTTATGTACATTTATCTTTTCATTTTAATTTATAATTATATATTTATAGAACCCAACCAGGTGAGAAAATTATATAGATACCCCAATAATAAGAAGAATATAATATAGAGATAATATAGAGAATATAATATAGATAAGAATATAGATACCCCAATAGAAAATGGCGGCAGAATGAAGTAATTATAATTCCGCTTATACTCTCAACTACGGGTATTATACCAAAACAGCTAAGTAGCAACCTTGACAAATTGGGCATAACAAGAGCTGTGCTAGATAAAATTCAAAAGGCTGTCATCTTGAGGACAACTACCATTGTGAGGAGACATTTATCCTTGTAACCAAATAATTTCCTTAACATATTGCCGTTAAGGCCGATTTGGGGATATCACCCCATAAAGAGGAGTAACCAATAAAAAATTAATAATAATAATAATAAATCGACCGCGACTTCCCCGCATACCCCTAAGCAAGCGAAATCGGGCTGTCGTGAGGGCTCTTAACCCAATGCTGGTAACCTATTTGGAAGCCAGCCGGGACCTTTGCGAGACGGACTCAGTTCTTTTTGGCGCCGCAGTGGCAGCTTGCCGTATTATTGGCGCCAAACTTCCCATGGCTGGACGCGCTACTAAACAAAGTAGCGCCATCCCAGCCTGGAGAAAAAGAATTGAGGACCGTATCGCAAAGGCAAGGGCCCTTATCGGCAGACTGATAAGCTTCAGGTCGGGTAATAATAGACCGAGGGTTGTGCGCACCGTTAGAATGGCGTTTGCTGGGACAAATATCAGTTTGTCCCAGCCGGATATCACGCAGAAACTAACGGAGCGCATAGACGACCTGAAGCAAAAGATTGCTGCTTGGGGGAAGCGGATTCGCCGATTTACCGAGAGGTCAAGGCGGTTCAACCAGAATCGTCTCTTCCAGAGTGATCAGAAGAGGCTCTACAAATCATTGGAGCGACCAGAGGTATGTGGAGCGGGCCCAGGACCGGATCAGGCTAACACTGTCGCATTTTGGCGTGGCCTGTGGTCAGAGCCCGTAAACCACAGCGAGTGCCCTTGGACGGAAGTTGTGGCGAGTCATTGTGCGAATATTACGCCCATGGACCCCGTCATCATAACGCCGGATGACGTAGCTGAGGCGGTCCGTAGAGCCCCGAACTGGAAAAGTCCGGGACTCGACGGACTGCATCACTACTGGCTGAAGGGGTTCATGGTGTGTCACGCTGTGCTCGCCCGTCAGTTTCAAGAGGCTCTCAACCAGAAGTCGCTCCCTAGCCTCTTCACTAATGGGATCACTCATTTGGTTCCTAAAGACCAGGTTACCACAGACCCGAGCAAATACCGCCCCATTACGTGTCTACCCACCATATATAAGACACTGACATCCATTTTGAGCGCGAGAATCACTTGTCACCTGGAGCTAAATCAGGTGATGTCACGCGCTCAAAATGGATGTCGGGGCGGTGGTCGTGGAACTAAGGAACCACTCCTCATTGACGCGGTCATTGGCAAAGTGGTGAAACGCAACCGTCGGAACTTCTCCGCCGCCTGGATAGACTACAGAAAGGCATTCGACTCGGTGCCCCATACATGGCTAAAGAGAGTCCTCGAGCTGTACAAGATAGACTGTACAGTGAGAGACTTCCTCGAGCAGTGTATGGGGCAGTGGAGTACGATCCTTTGTCATCTGGGTGAGCGGATGATGGCTGCGGAGAACCACATAAGGATAAGAAGGGGTATCTTCCAGGGCGATTGTCTGAGTCCAATCTGGTTCTGCCTCTCCCTGAACCCTCTCAGTACCTTACTGGAGGGATCCGGGAGAGGATTTCAGCTACGGAAAGGAGGGACAAAAGTGACCCACCTTTTCTATATGGATGACCTTAAGTTATTCGCCTCCAGTCGCTCCCATCTTATGGAATTGCTAAAAATCACTTGTGAGTTTAGCAGTTCCATTGGAATGGAGCTGGGGACGGATAAGTGTGCGGTCCTCCATGTTGAGAGGGGAAGGGTTGCTAACTCTGAGGGCATAGATTTATCTATGCCCGTCAACTTAAGGACCCTTTCCGAGGCTGAAACATACCGATACCTGGGTATGTCACAGAACATCGGTATCGATGATGCTGGTGTGAAACAGTCAGTTTGCGACGTGTTTTATGCACGCTTGACCAAAGTGCTTAATAGCCTTTTGTCCGGTGTGAATAAGACACACGCATATAACGGTTGGGTCATGCCTGTCCTTATGTATACCTTTGGCATACTCAGGTGGACTCAGACTGAACTTAACGCCCTGGATAGAAAAGTCCGCACTACCATGACGTCCCATAGGTTGCATCATCCGAGATCGTCGGTAATGAGGCTGTACTTGCCGCGAAAGCATGGTGGACGTGGCTTTCTAAGCGCGCTCACTATGCATAATAGTGAAGTGTGCAGCCTCCGTCATTACTTCCTGGCGAGATCGGATGATCCATTCTATAATGACGTCATTTCTAGTGATAAAGGGCTTACCCCTCTATCCTTGGCCAACGAGCAATGGCAGGACCCAGCAGTGCTTAGCATTTCCGACCGGGAGACCGTATGGAAGGAGAAGGAGCTCCACGGGAGGTACTACAGGGTTCTACATGAGCCCTTCGTAGATACAGTCGCCTCCCTCAACTGGCTACGTTTCGGTGACCTCTTCGTGGAAACCGAGGGTTTTGTCTGTGCAATACAGGATCAGGTTATTAAGACCAACAATTATCGGAGATACATCCTAAAGGATGGCACCGTCGACATCTGTCGAGCTTGTCGCCACCCCGGTGAGTCACTTAGGCATGTTATCTCCGGTTGTTCGGCGCTTTCTAACTCTGAGTACTTGCACAGGCACAACCTAGTAGCCAGAATTCTACACCAGGAGCTCGCTCTGAAATACGGTCTCGTGGATCGGAAATTGCCGTATTACAAGTACTTGCCGGAAGCCGTGCTCGAAAATGATCGCGCCAGGCTCTATTGGGACCGGGCCATCATCACAGACAGGACTATTCTTGCGAATAAGCCTGATATTGTGCTGATGGACCGGGCACAGTCAAGGATATTTTTGGTCGACATTACCATTCCGTATGACGAGAACCTCGTGAAAGCCGAAACAGACAAGCAAACAAAATATCTGGACCTGGCTCACGAGGTGACCGACATGTGGGGTGGTCTGCCGACCGAAATTATTCCTGTAGTCGTCTCTGCAAACGGGCTAATCCCAGTCAGCCTCTCGGGTCATCTGAGGCGGCTGGGACTACGTGGCGGACCGCTCCAGGTTCAAATGCAGAAGGCGGTGCTCCTCGATACCGCCCGCATCGTCCGCCGGTTTCTTTCCCTTTCCCCCTAACCCTCGGCCGTTTGGTCTCCCCTGCCGAGGGCCTCCATCTGGTTGGGCTTTTATTTATTTATGTACTTTTATATTTATTTTATGTTATTGATATTTATGTATATTTGTCTTTTCATTTTCATTTATAATTATATATTTATAGCACCCAACCAGAGAGGAAACTATATAGATACCCCAAAATAATAATAATAATATAATAGCCTTTATTCAGATCAACTTAACCTAATAACAATACTTTAAAGCAAACATAAAACTTAGTCTAATATTTGCTGCTTTTTTATCTTTTGTAGATCAGTTTGCCAATCGGCAAAGGCCTCCAACCTCTTCCATTCTGATCTTTCTTGAGCTACTCTGTTCCAAATCACTCCTGCCACTTCTCTTATATCGTCGTCCCATCTTTTCTGCGGTCTGCCTTTTTTCTTTTTCTTTCCCTGGGATACCATCTTGTTACATTCTTACTCCATTTGTCATGACCTCTTATTGTGTACCCTGCCCACCTCCATTTGAGTCTTTTAATTTTCCGTACTACATCTATGGTTCTTGTTTTATTTCTGATGACACAGTTTTTCAGTCTGTCTGATCTTTTGACATTCAGTATGCTCCTCTCCATAGCATATTGGCAAGTTGCTAGCCTGTTTATCATTTCACGAGTTAAAGTCCATGATTGGCAGCCATACATAAGGACGGGTAGTACGCAGGTGTTAAATAGTTTGGTTTTGATGTTTATATGAAGTTGTTTGTTTTTCATAGTCTCTCTCAAGCTCCAGTATCGTCTCCAGCTGTTCGTAATTCTTCTCTTCACTTCCTCGCGCATAGGTTCTTTTTGGGTTATGAGTTGTCCCAGATAGATGTATTCGTCAGTGTAGTTGATTTCGGTATTTCTTATCCGTATCGTGGTTTTCTCTCCATTTGTCATCACTCTAGTCTTCTCTGGATTGAGTTTTAATCCTACTCTCTCACTTTATATCGATAGGTCTTCTATCATTTTATTGATGGCTTCAGGTGTTTTGGCGAATAGCACTATGTCATCAACGAATCTTAAATGCGTCAGTGATGTGCCGTCTACGTTGATCCCAAGATTTTCCCAATTAAGTTTTCTGAAAGTTGATTCCAGTAGAGCCGAGAATAATTTTGGGGACAGGGGGTCACCCTGTCTAACGCCTTTTCCTACTTTAAATAGCTGGCTTTTCCTATCTAACTGGATTCTGGCTGTACTATGACTGTACACCTGTTTTATTAATCGAATGTATATGAGTTCAATCCCTTGTCCCACTAATGCTTCCCATATGTTTTTATGTAGAAGAGAGTCAAATGCTTTGCTGTAGTCGATAAAAGCAATGTAATATGTAAGCTGGTATTCGTTGTATTTCTCAATAACTTGACGAACTACATGGATGTGGTCGATCACCGAGTAGTCCTTACGAAATCCCGCCTGCTCAATGGGTTGTTGTTCGTCTAGCGTTCTTTCAATACGTTTTAAAATGATCTTAGCGAAGATTTTGTAGATGTTTGACATAAGACTGATGGGGCGATAGTTTCCGATTTCATGTTTATCTCCCTTCTTATACAATAGGATAATGTTAGATTCTGTCCATTTCTGGGGAATTATTTCAGTGTTTATAATTTATAATATTGTTAAACATATCTGTAAGGACAGGTGCTAACACTTCCTTTCCTTGTCTTAAGATTTCGTTGCTTATGCCGTCAGGACTTGGTGTTTTATCTACCTTTTGAGAATCTATGGCTTTCTCGACTTCAGCTTGAAGAATGTTAGGAATGTTTGAGGTATCCGCCAAATCAATTTCGTCTTCTGTTGTGTTACTTTCGTACAGTCTCTTGTAATAAGATGTTGCTATATCCAATATTCCTGTTCTACGATGATTCCATTTTCCACTGTCATTTTTCATTTTCATATCGAAGCTTCCGAAATTGCAATAAGTTCCAAAGTTATAATAGAAGTTTAAGTTTTTTTGGATATATATGTAGCAGAAAATTATGTATATACTCCAGAGAACCCTTCCAAAGTCAAAGGAAGACATTTTCATATTTAAACCAATAACAGATATTCAAATATATACATAAAGATAAGCACAAGTTGGAGACAGGGGCCTACGCGCAATTTTTTTATTAATATAATTGTTACAAATGAAATAATTTTGTTCTTGAGATACTGTGATGAGGGCTTGTGGTCCTGTGCAACTCACCATGGGTCTTATTTGTACACCTTCCTAACGTAGTTTATACCCTATATTAATTATGAAAACAAGGTGTGTGTGTGCAGGTGTCAAATTTCATTGTTATTAATCTGTGGTCTCTTTTGCTAACTTTTTTAATTTTTCCAGTATTCATTAGATAAAAACGTTATATATACCAGGCGGTCCCATAATGAACTGGCCTGATATAGTTCAACGCGACATGTCGCTACATGTTGTGTTGCATTAAATAGTACGTTTATCATGCACTTAATATAAGAAACATGCATCGACATGAAATGCTTAGTCTTAGTTTAACAGGCATTTGAATAACGAGAGTCACGTATTTTTTCAAAATGTCGAAAACTGACTATCGAAGTGTCATAAAGTTTCTGTTTAAAGAAGGTTTATCCCCTGTCCAAATAAAAGAACGATTGGATGGCGTGTATAAGGAGTCTGCCCCCTCCTATAGCATAGTGAAAAATTGGGTGAAAGAGTTTCGCCTCGGGAGAGAAACCGTCGAAGACTTTGGCCACGACGGTCGACCTGTGGAAGTGCTCACTCCCGAAACGATTGCTCTTATCGAAGAGGAGGTTCTGAGTGACCGCCGTTTGAAGATTAGAGAAAATGCAGCAAGGCTTGGGCTCTCTAAGAGTACCATTCATCGCGCGATCCATGAACATCTTCACATGAAAAAAGTGAGTGCAAGTTGGGTACCGAAACTTCTTTCAGCGGTACAGAGACAGGAAAGAGTGCGCTGCGCTTCGGAGTTTTTGGATCTTTGTGGCGAAAATCCAAAGACTGTGATCGAGCGGCTAGTGACTGGTGATGAAACTATGATCCTGTATTATGATCCACAAAGTAAGCGCGAGTTAATGGAATGGCGTTATAAGGGTGAAAAGCCCCCTAGAAAGGCAAAGGTGCAACAATCGACTAAAAAACTGATGTGCACAATATTTTGGGATTTTCAAGGCATTTTAATGGTGGATTTTAAAGAACGTAATACAGTCGTGAACGGCGAATATTTTGCTTCTTTAATATATAAATTACGAGACAAGATAAAGGAAAAACGAAGAGGCAAGCTGTCTAAAGGTGTCCTGTTGCTCCATGACAACGCCCCTGTTCATACCGCTGGTGTTTCGAAGGATGCAGTTCGTCAATGCGGGTTCACAGAAGTTCAACATCCACCTTACAGTCCAGACATGGCCCCGTCCGACTATTATTTATTTCCAAATTTAAAGCGGGACTTAAGAGGAAGAAAATTTTCAAGCGATGAAGAGTTGCAGGCGGCCGTCTTCAGTCATTTTGAGGATAAAAAATGTGATTATTTGTATAAAGGTTTAGAGGTGTTGATTCACAGATGTCAGAAGTGTGTTAGTATTCATGGTGATTATATTGAAAAATAAAATTGGTTTCGTTTCATTTCCTTCATTGGTTCATAGTTAGGCCAATTCATTATGGGACCGCCTACGTATATATATATATATATAATTGTTGCGTGAATAAGTCAACGACATACACTAGCGCCATCTAGTGTCAGGAACGAGAGCGTGGGGAGCTTTGCAGAAAATGACATCAATATTTCAATCGACAGCGCCATCTAGTCTCAAACCGAAGAACTAAGTTTCTAGAAACTCTACACTCGAACACTCGTCGCTTTGCGCGCATTTACTTGAATATTCCGGATGCTTCCTTGCTAATTTGTATATATAGGCGCTGCAAGATTCGATCGGGGAAGTATTGGATTTGGTCAGACAAGCGAAGCTTCGGAGCGAAATAAAGTGAACCAGTGTGCTTAATTATTAGTGTTTTTAACTTTAAGTAGTGTAAAGTGAATAAAGTGTTAATTTAGGTAATTATATTGGCAATTTTTATTGTCACGAACCTCAAGCTCGTAACAATTGGTGTCAGAAGTGGGATAAAATCATGCCGATTTTACTTATGGAGGAAACGGAGTGTGTCCGTACCCGAAGTCAACGCCAGCAGGAGACGGACCAAAGAAGATTTGGTGGTACAACGCCGCAGACGTCGGAGGGCCAGCCACCGGCTGCAGGCCCGTCAGTAGCTCCTACATCTGCAGCACCCGACTTAGGTGCTCTGATGGTGATGCTGCAGGAACAGGCTCGCCGACAGGAGGAACAGGTCCGACGGTTGGAAGAGCAGCTACGGGCAGACAGGATGAACAGGCCCGTCGACAGAAGGAACAGGTCCGCAGACAGGAGGAACAGGTCCGTCGGTTGGAAGAGCAGCTGCGGGGCGGACAGGATGAACAAGCCCGCCGACAAGAGGAACAGGCCCGTCGGTTGGAAGAGAAGATGCTCCTCATGAAGGACCTTCACGCTACCTTTGGAAAAGAGATACGGGAGGTGAAAGATAAGGTTGCTCAACATGACAACCGCCTGTCGGAAGCTGAAACCCGAATCGACCAAGTAAACAATCGGGTTGACAACGTAATGGCTGACATGAAGAAATCACTGGACGAACTCAAGCTTGGAGATGGAACTATAGCTCCCGTAGTAGCTATAACACCTTCGCCACGTGGGTTCAAGGTACCACCGTTCGACGGGACTTCTTCCTGGTCAGCCTACAAAATCCAGTTTGAGGCGAAAAGTTGTTATGAAGGCGAACGGCTGGAATAAAAGTCAGGCCATGACTGCTCTCACACTAGGCCTGCGCGACCAGGCCTTAACAGTTCTGGAAGCTCTCAATGAGAAAGTGACTTATGAGCAACTCCTTGAGGCATTGGAAGCGAGATATGGCGACGCTCACCTGGAACACGTCTTTCGTGCGCAGCTTAAAGATCGCGTGCAGCGCATCAACGAAAACCTGCAGCAGTGGGCTCTAGAGGTGGAGAAGCTGGTGCGAAAAGCATACCGGTCTGTACCTGCGCTCATTGAAGGGAACCTGGTGCAGACATTCATCGACGGCATCCGCGACCTGGAAGTCAAAGCTGCTGTGAGGCTCGGGCATCACGAGACGCTTAAGGACGCCTTGGCCCATGCACTGGAGGTGGAAGCCGTGCGGCAGGATCATCGTTCCCATCGCGTCAGGAAGGTTGCAGCAGCTACAGTTCGCGACCACAACAAAGGATACAGCCCTAAGTGCTATGACTGTGGGGGAAAAGGGCCACCTTCGATCCAGCTGCCCTAAGCGAACCGCAGAAAGGGAAAGTGAACGATATCAGGAGGGTGGTGCAGCTAACGGCACTGCCTGGCGGCGACAGGATCATCGTTCACCTCACGCTAGGGAGGTTGCAGCAGTTACGGTTCGCTACCACAATAAAGGATACAGCCCTAGGTGCTATGGCTGTGGGGAAAGGGGCCATCTTCGGTCCAGCTGCCCTAAGCACACCCTAGGAAGGGAAGGTGAACGGTCTCAGAAAAGAAGTGCGGCTAACAGCACCGCCCAGTAGCAGCAGGAATGCGACTTTACTATCAGACACTGCAGCGGGAAATCTCACGGTAACGCAGATGCGTTGTCAAGAAGACCTTGTCCTGAAGATTGCAACCATTGTAGTAGGCAACGTAAGGAAGTGGTATCCGTGAGGATGCTCAGGACAGACCACCTCAGCAATGGGTGGAAGGACAGCCTACGACATGCACAGCAGGAAGATCCGGACATCAAGCCGATTCTGGGATGGATGAAGGCCCGTGCTACCAAGCCTAAGTGGAGGGACGTCTCAGCGATGAGTTCAACCACGAAAAGCTTTTGGTCCCAATGGGACAGCTTGCTGCTTCAGGATGGAGTCCTGTGCCGTAAATGGGACAATGGTCGAGGAGACAGTTGTCGTTTGCAAATGGTTGTCCCTAAAGCTAAAGTGCCGAATGTTCTACAGCTGTGCCATAATGGTCGTTCAAGAGTCCATCTGGGAGTTAAACGAACTTTACTGAAGGTTCGAGAACAGTTTTACTGGGTCCATTATCGTGACGATGTCGAGGATTGGTGTCGTACATGTACAAGTTGTGCGGCTGTGAGGGGACCTCAGACACGGAGTAGAGGAGCATCGAAATTGTACAATGTTGGTGCACCACGGGATAGGACATCCCTTGACATTGCGGAGCCGTTACAGAAAGGCGCAAGAGGGACTCCTAAGATCGTCCATGTGGATCGGTTGGCGCGTTATTATGGGACCGATAATGCTCGGGACGAGCATGTCTTAGGAGGGGGCAGTGTTGCGTGAATAAGTCAACGTCATACACTAGCGCCATCTAGTGTCAGGAACGAGAGCGAGGGGAGCTTTGCAGAAAATGACATCACAAATCTTTCAATCGACAGCGCCATCTAGTCTCAAACCGAAGAACTAAGTTTCTAGAAAATCTACACTCGAACACTCGTCGCTTTGCGCGCATTTACTTGAATATTCCAGATGCTTCATTGCTAATTTGTATATATAGGCGCAGCAAGATGCGATCGGGGAAGTATTGATTTGGCGAGACAAGAGAAGCTTCGGAGCGGAATAAAGTGAATTAGTGTGTTTAATTATTAGTGTTTTAAGTTTTAATTTGTGTAAAGGAAATTAAAGTGTTAATTTAGGTAATTTTATCGGCGATTTTTATTGTCACGAACCTCAAGCTCGTAACAATATGTTTTAAAATCATAATATGTTCGTATCATTTTTTAGTAGAATAAGGGTGACAAACGAGCAATAGTCCACCTGATGATAAATGGATACTGTGGCCCATAAACATTTACATTTATCCTCGATTAAGAATCAAAACGCAGATATGTTGTCACCCTTGAGAAGTAAGATGGAATGCCTCGTTTCCGGTAAAAAAAGCTTCCGGGTCTCTACATTCACCATACAAAACACAGCAGTATTAAGCTGCTATTTTATGCTGATATTTCGTAAGAGCGTGGTCCTTCCCCGGTCGGACCAACCCATTAGTGCTA